TCAAACACAAAGCCACTGTTCCTCGCATTGATCTTTTTATCTCTAGGAAACTGCAAAGTCTGCAAATAATAAAATGTGGGCTCCTCACTTCAAGCAGCATCTTCTACATTATACCGGCATTTCATCCATTATTAATAAAGACATATTGATTAGTGCATTTCTATGCATGTAAAGAGGCTCATTTTTATGTTAATAATGTAGAATACTTACAACAAAACAAAGCAGTTAAGAGATAATGGTCTTTTTTACTTCCTTTATTTTTTATGTATAAACCATTTATTGCTCTCACTGGTAGTTTTTGCCCTTCTAGCAACCTCAACTGAGTGTATGCTGTAATTTCAGCTTAATAAAGAGTAAAAATACTCTGACATTTTAATATGTTTCCAGCTGGGTGTGCATATGAATCTACTTAGCAGTACAGCTCAGACATACTGTGATGGATGATTTGATGATATGTGCTTTAAGAAACAAAAGAAGATATATTTGGAAGCAGAAGATTCATTTTTTAGCAGCAGAAATCATTTTTCTCTGTTCTCGCCCTTTAATCAAAACCCAGCTGGTACTATGGCTACCATCATATCATTTTATTGTGGCGGTTGTTGAGAAAAAAATAAAATAAATAAAAGGTCCTGCTGCTTTTTCCCATGATTGATTTCTTGCTCCATGACTGCTGAATGTCAGCAGGGATGAAAAAATAAAACAAAAGATACCTACTTGCTCTTTGATTGAGAGACAAACACTGAAAGCTGACATTTACTGTTGCGCACCGTTTTCCATTGAGTAAAGTTTTCCAAGTGTGCAATGGCAAAGCTTAGCAGAGAGAAAGGTCAGTAACAAGACAGGCTGAAGTGTCGGAGGCTGAATGGATGAACTAGCTTCGGATTTAGGAGGTTTTGTGATCTGATCCGCACAGAAGAACATCACAGTCACAGCAAAAGTAAACCAAAAAAATAAAAAAAGAAGAAAAAAGAAGAAGAAAAGAAAAGAAAAAAAAACTTACAACTCTTCAGTTCATAAAACATAAACATTCCTGCTAAAATTAAAGTTCACAAATTTCCCATTCAATGATTGTATAGATCAGGGCACAGGATACAAGGGCACTTTGAAACAATTTTAGAAACCTGGTCAAATACACTAAAAAGATGCAAACTGTAATTATAACAAAAAGTTAAATAATCACCCGTTTCAACATGTATGTTTTTTTGTTTGTTTGTTTTTCTTGATCTTCTTTTTGTTAATACCAGCTCTCGTCAGGTCCAGCTTTGGAAAGTTGTGTCTTAAATAATGCAGAGAACAAGAGCAGATCTAAACTGGGGAACTTTACAGCATCTGAAAGCTGACACATATGCATGTTCAGAGTTCAGCAACTGGGTAAGACTCATACGCTTCTTAGGAGGCGTAAAGAGGAGATCAAAACTGCAGGTTCTGGTGCTGGCTTTATATCTGTGACTCAGTGTTCTGCCTGAATGAACGGCAATGCAGAGGTGAGCGTGGGCGAGCAGGAGTGAGGAAGGTAGCATGAGGTAAAGAGAGAGCAGGATGACATCACATTGAGCCTGTAAGGTGTAAAAAGATATTAAAATGGCTGCATTTAGAGTTAATTTAATTTGTAAATACTGCTGAAAGAAGAACTGCATAAGAACATAAAAAAATCTTGAAATGATGGAAAATTTTTCTTACAATTAGTTTACATAATTTTAATGGTGAAACACTGAATTTTACATCATTTTCAAGGAAATGATTTCAATCAAGTTCAGTACAACTGTGCTTTTTTTTCTCAACTTATTGCTCAAATTCCAAAGGCCAACAATGGTGAATGCATATGGTGTTTTCTCTGAAGGAGCACTGACTGAGTTGCCTGGTGTTTAATTTGTGTGTAGGCTCTGCCCACTCAGTTTAATAATGATACATATCCTGCATATCACTCCCACAGTGATGATGGAAACTCTCTTCCACTTGAGAACTTAGTCCACCCACTTTCACCTTCACTCTGCCCATCAACCACTTCATGAAATGATTTATTCAATCCAGTGTTTCTAAACCAATTCAAGTACATCTTCAACCTAGAAGCACAGATTGATCCGCTTCGATTAATCTTTCATTTTACGTGCTCGACCGCAAGGATTAAAATTACTGTAGCATTCCTGACTAATACTTGTTAACAGCTCAGTCCAACACAAATAAATGATCAACACAAATGAAAAAAAATAAAAAAGCTTTTGCTCCACTATGGTTTTCTTTAAATTCACAGTTTTTATATTTATTTTCATCCACTTCATACTGCTCAAGCTGCAAGGCAACAACTCAGCAGGTGTGATGAAAAAAAACAAGAACCATTTCCTCTCAAGTTAAGAAGGAAGATGACGAAACAAAAAAGGAGAGAAGGAAGGAGTTCATACTTTGTGAAGCTACTTATTTTATAATAAACTAAAGCTAAAACAGATATAACCTGTTTTTTTCCCTCTCAGTCATAGTAAGTCTGTGACAGTAGTTTTGTACAGATACTAGAGCAAGATACCACAAACTTGCTCTAAATACAGTTTATTGGTTCAATTGGTGACCAAAATTGCAATATTTTATAGCATTTTCAGATGCTGCAGTTCACTTCAACCCCCACAAATGATGGCGCTGCACCAAGAGCCGCTGAAGGAAATGACACGAAAATCTTCTTCCCAAAATGCGTACAGAAATAGAAAGGCATCAGATTTTAGTGGTTGCAAGATTTCTCTTTCGTCTTTGGCAAAACACCAAGAGCCATTTATCTTGCAAGAGCCAGACTTCCACGTTTGTTTTGGTTGTATTTACCCAGAATGCACTGTGCAATAGATCCTTTCCTGCTTTTGGAGCAGTCTACGGTGCACTTGGTGTTCGCATATGTATTTAAATGGTACCAGAGTTCAGTTCAGCCAAACTGAGCCCCACTTTTTAAGCAGAGCAAAGTTTGCTTTTTTTGGTCTATTTCATAATCTGGAATGGAAATGCACTGTAATTACAATAATGCAATAAAATCAGCAACTGTTGATCAAAACCACTTTAAAATAATAAAAAGAATATCCGTTTGGAAGAAAAGTGCAAAGAAATGAGAAATAAAATGTATAGGATCTGATGTGAACTTTGTGTTATGACAAACAAAGCCAATGTTAGTCTACTTCATTAGGTCATGCTCCAGACATGTCTCTCATGCTCAGTGCTTCCTTCCCCATAAGGAGCGCTACAACCGAGCTAAGCAAGAGCACAAACAAATACGAACCATCAGGTATCCTCAGAGTCAAATCTAAACAAATGCAATAATTATGATATTAATGTTCTGAAACAACCCTCTGCAGCAAGGCTATAATTACACAACATAATGCGGGAAGTGGTTACTAATTAGCCAGCCAGAAAATAAAACTTTGAAAAACATTGGTGTTATCCATGTGTCACTGATGAGGCAACAAAACGAATGTGTCATTTAAAGACATGGGCCAGGGTACGATGAGCTAACGGATTTTCACACCATGATGATGGAAGTGAGAGCACTGGAAAAACGAAACAGCAGCTAGCTGCTGAAGTCATGATAAAAAGCCCTTTCCCACCCTCTCCCTGTATAACCCCAGTACATTATTTAATATCTAAGGTAACAGGAAAGAGAACAGGAAATTATGCCTCCTGCAGTCTCTATGAAGCGGGCCCATGATGAATATCTTGTTCTCACATCTACTCTGATAACGCCACACTTGTCCTTAGATTTATTATGCAAGAGTTCAAAGCTGGAGCTTAACTCCAGAGTTCAAAACGATTAAGCTGCCGTTGTGAGACAAACTGTATTATTATTCTGCAGTAACCTCGCCAACAGCAACAGGGTCACATCATCACTGTAGGTTTCACGCTGATAGTTTGTTTAAAAAATGAAAGTTAGAAAAGGTTAGCATATTTAAAAAAACTGACAGATCTTATCAGTTCAAAGAAAAAGTAGATGGTGCATTAGGAGCAGGTTCAAATAAAGTTTAGTAGTTAAAAGAATGATTTGACTGTTATCAGAAACTAGCTAAGATATTAGCAGGTCAAAGCTCTTCTCAGTGCACTTTGTGCACATGCTGAGGTAGGGCACCGATTCAATACTTCACCGAGTGGAGGAGTCTTCAGTGGGTGTAGTAAAGAACTGGCCCTGCGAACTTGTTCTCCTTACTATCTAATCAGGAGAACAAGTATCTAATCTCTCCGATTTATTCTAGGAAACGTTTCTTATTGGTGGATTTGTTTCTTGAGCATTTCTAAAATATGCAAACTAAAAGGAAGCATGGGAAGGCAAAATCTATGAATGCACTGCTCAAATTTCCAGCAGTGGAATCGACATAGATAGCGGACATTATTTATCAAGCTTTAACTCCACTGTAAAATGTTTTCCAACACTCGACATTTCTTTGAGGTTGGAAATAGCCTCACTGAAGCCATACTTTGTATTCATAACCAAAATCTGAAGATTTTGTCAAACATTTTAGTAGTGAAGAATGAAATTCTATACATCACAAATCTTGAAAACATGTAGCTTTCCAGCAAATGAGACAAGGAAGACTGACATGGCCATTCAGGGCCACTTTCATGTTGAGGGAAGATGAATAAATGTCTCACATCTCTGATGTTGTAAATATTCTGTGTATCCAAAACGAGACCTTCAGGATGAGTCTCAAAAGCTGTGACTCACTGGCATGTCTGTATGTTCCTGTTTCGTTTAAGAAGTAAACACACAAGTGTCTAGAGAATCCATTTGCTCCCCTGCAGAAACAAGCTGGTGCTTTTATTTCTGAGCAGATCATTATTTGTCTAACAGTCAACAGACTTGGCAAACAAATGACTCAGTAATTTGTGAGCATGAGCAGATGTCTGTGTGCAAAGTAAGATATAAAAAAGAAGACATGGTCCAGTAAAAATACAAACATTATCCTCAGATCCCAACAATGGCAGCTGTGCTAATGAGAGTCTGTGTGGGCACGACTGGGTGTTTTGCATTCCATGTGTACCTTTATCGCTGAAGTCATCGACAAGAATGATTTCTGCGATCAGCTCTGGAGGAGAGCGGTTGAGCACGCTGTGAACGGTCCTCAGCAGAGATGACCAGCCCTCGTTATGAAACGGGATGATGATGCTGGTGTTGGGCAGTTTCTCTGAGTAAAACTTCTTTTTGCAGCTGCAAACACACACAAAAGATAGACAAAGATGTGTTAAAGAGGTCGGCATGTAACACAATATTTTGTGCAAATTTTTGGTTTTTAAGGACGTGTAGACAGCAGTCCACAAGATTCATGCCAAGATGCAGAATGTTCTGAACATTGTGTTGCTGTCATGGTTGACTTGATGTTTCAAACAAGCGTGGAAAAATATCTGTAGAGTGACAGACATGGATGGGTGTGGTCCAGATTTTTTTGCAAGAAAATCAGAAACTGTTCTAACTACTAAGGGATCCCATTTCTTTATTACATTCTTTACTACTATACTTTAATACTTAAGAGTGTTTGACATTACATCTGTGACTGATTTCAGAATCTCTGATTCAGCATGGCTTTTGAAACATGGGTTTAGTCTTGAGTTCTAGAACAGCAAACCATATTTTCACCCTTGCAGAATTGCTAAGGGAGTCATACATTTTTCTGAGTCTTAAGAAGATTTGTGTCCGTTTCCTTCAAGGTATCTTGTGGGGTGTGGCATGTATGCACCGAGTGCCGGGGTTGGTTTAAGGATTTTCCAGTCCATGTACGCTCAAAGCAAAAGCTGTGTCCACAATCTAGGCAGTAGTTGAAGCTTGTTCTCAGGACTGGAGAGGTGTGCAGCTGGGTCTAAAGTGGTAAGGGTGAGAGTTTGAGGACAAAATTCTACAATGGCAAAGGTTCCTTTTACGTTGAAGGTCAGTATATGCTTCAAGCAAAAGAGTTCAAATATCTCAATATCTAGTTTATGAGCGGTGAAAGGATAGAGCGAGTGATGGATAGACTGACTGGGGCACTGCTGCAGTCTGTCAATGCGAAGAAAAAGTTGAGACACAAAGCTGACTGGTGATTTACCATTACATATAGACTCCAACCTTTAGATCATGAGATATGGATGATTATCAGAAAAATGAGACGTCCTCCAAAAGGTGGCTGATCTCTGCTTCATAGAAAGAATGACAGAGCTACTCTTGGATGACAGAACCTAAGCTACTGATTCTCCATAGGGGAAAGAGTTGACTGTGTACAGAGCTTTAAGCATGAGATGGTCAACTATCAGTGTTTATTAGCTGTAAAAAGAATACAGGTAGAAATGCCTGAAATAAATCATGCTTTGAGTAATAAATCCATGAACTTCATTGTTGAAATAAATAAAATAAATTAATTTGGTGAAGATATTTTATTCATTTCTAGTATTATATAGCATCACTTCAGGAGGAGGCTTCATTTGAACGGCCACATTTAAAACTCCAGAGGTAGTTTTTCACTTGTTGACGATTTGAATTGAAAAAAAGCAAAAAAACATTTGAGCTTCAAGAATAGAAAAGAAACAAAGAAATCACATTTGGCCGTAACATCTAATGCTCCAACGCAATTAAGTAGAGCCACAAAATCTTTTCCTGCAAAAAAATGTCTTACACAAAATGTCTTGACTTCAATAGCTAAATACTTGGACGTGTGGCCAACACAAACTATATGACTTGGTTTTTCCATTCTAAAACTTCTTTTTGTTAATTGGTTCACCTGATACTCAGCCAGAGAAATCCAGCTCAATGGGAGAAATCCCAGACAGAGCAGAGAAGGGAGATGACAATAGAGTGGAATTACATAGGCTATAATAACCGTGTTGGACACAACATTTCCATGTCATTACTACTCTTTATATTATTTTTAAGGTCATTATTGCCATATTTGAAATGCTAATTGACAGAGAAAAAGAAGCCTTCTCCTTCCTGTGACACTGGCCTTTACCTAATTGTATAGCTGTGCTCTGCAGCAGTCCAACCTGAACAATGTGTTGCTCTTTTAATAGGATGTAATGAAGCATACCACCTGCTGCTTTGCCCTTCAGTTGCTTTCTCTTTTCTCTTTCCTGTCTGTTCACTCTCTGTGAGATCAGAAGGGGAATCTGCAGAGACTGTAATTACCTCGGAGGCTCTCAGGCTCGTCTGGCTCTCGCTGCGATTCTCCATCACATCATTCTTGTAGCAAGCGTGAGCGAGACAAGTGAATGAAAGCTGTAGGAAGGACCATGGGCTCGCGGAGAACCCAGGTGGCACACGGTTGTCAGACAACTGTCACTCTCCTGTCGCTTCGACTGGTCTAACTGATGCCAACATCCAGATTGTCGGTCCAAGAACCTGACAATAACTTGGTTCTGTTGAAAAGATTTAAGCCCCAAACCATTTCTGTTGAGCCTGATTTTCATTTAAATCTTGCCATGACAGAAAAAGCAAAAACCACTCTTTAGAGAGTGATGACATGTCTTGACACAAGACGGTTTCACAAAGTGAAAATGTTAAAATTCCACCAAAATGAAGGCATATTTTTGGTCAGGATGTTTAAGCATTTTCAGTCAGGCTTTTCAGAGTGTTACTGCAGTAAAATAAATAAATAAAAACTGCTTAGTCCACCTTGAGTTTGCAAAGTTGAACTGCAATTTTTTGACAGCTGCACCATGGGAGCAATAACAGGATCTGTTTGATAGAGTGCACTTCAGTGACACCACCCTGGTGGAGACTGCGGCACGTGGGATGGAAAGCATGTTTGATGTAAAAAAGAACCCACATAAGGTCACAGAATGTTGGAGATTTATAAGTCTGAGGGATAAAAATGAGAGAGAGCATAAAACGTAAAGAGGGGACCTTGAGAGTGAAAGCGTTTAAAACTGTTTTCCACATGAAAGTGACAGTGGAGGTCAGAAAGAACCACCTGTCAGGTAGAGGAAGGCGCTGAAGGCTGATCTGAGACGAAGCGGGTCAGCAGGTCTGGAGATGCTTAGACGGCTGTATTTATAGTGTTTCTGCTCTATTTTTTCAGTACTTCTCTTTTGATAAGTCACAGGTCTGTGGGAACAAACTCATCTGTTTGCACTCCAATCACATGTTCATGTGGTCCCTAAGCAGGAACAGTTTTTAAATGCATCAACCTGCTCAGGTTTGGAAGAGCCTACTGTGAATCAGAGATGCAGTTAAAAGGGGCTGGTGGCAAAAATCTGCCACTTTTCATTTAGAACTGCTAATTTATCTGGACTGAATCTATCCTGACAGGCCCTGATCAGTGATTGCCTGTCGGTAAACTAAATATTTATTTTCTTATTAGCAAACGTACCCTATAGAAATGTCAGCAGGTCACATGACAGCAAATGTTGTCCTTCAACAACTCTGTGTTGAAGGAGGAAGACTCAAAGTTATCCATATTAAGATTTTTAAAAACAAAGTAAGGGAAAGCACAAAAGGGAAAGTTGGAGAACATTTAGAAAATTATATGTTAATTCTATGGAGGCATAAAGTGCTGTCTAAACATTCAGCCAAACGTATCACAGCAAGGTGATCAGTTATATGCTTTCAGGTTAATGTTATCTGTCATGGAAGATGGTGGATTGGCTAATATTTGCAGTCATGTGGAAATCTCAAAGTTATGGCACTGATCTATCACAGTTAATTCATAGACACTGAGTATGCAGTAATGTTCATATATTAATCCATCCTTTATCTTCTGCCTAATCAGGGAAGATAATAGTCTCATGTGTGAGAAGCACAGTATGTTTTACTCATTCATTTATTTTTATTTAACCAGGTGAGTTAATAAGAACATTTTCTTATTTATAGTAACGGCATGCCTTTATAAGGAAAGCAAATAAATAAGACATGCACTACCTTCACCCCAGACTGGAATTACAAAATGTCTATTTCCAATAGATGCATCTTTTTTCTGATTGCCTTCCCTTGTTGCTCCTTTACAATATTTTTTTTTTTTTTTTTTTAGAAAATCAACAATAACCTGCACCAACTGAACTAAGAGTGTTTATGTGTTCAATACAATGAATGACTTCAGCAGGTGATTAATTTCTCCCCTCTCTGGTAGATGGAGTGCCAATCTGTAAAATAAACTGCTGTGGTCTTTGGCTGGAATGGAAACCTGCAGATGTTTGGCCCTCCGTGGCCCATTTCAGCCCTGATTCAGATAAAACTCCACACACCAGCCCAAGGTGTAATTATTTTTTTTGAGAAATAATTTTTTTTGTGTGTGCCTGGGGTAAAGTGAGGTGTGCGTCTTAAAAAGTGCAGGGTTCTTTTGTGCTGTGCTGTCACCATTTTACCGGCAGATATGGCCAACTAAGATAAGGTGGATATCATTAATAAGACCTCATCTGTTGGAAAGCTGAGTTTTAACATCTTCAGGGAAATTAAATGTGAACAAGAACATTAGCAAAAAAAAAAAAAAAAAAAAAAAGAAAAAATAACTTCTGAAAGTTGGTTCTTTTTATCCAAAAAGAGAGGAAGCTTTGTTATTTGGTGCCACTTGGGACAACATTTAATGGTTTGTGTTTGTTTTTCACTGTAAATGTTTTATGAAAAAATTTCATTTTACATTTAAATTTCAGGTTGAATAAAAAAAATCTTTAATAGTTCTTTCAGAAAAATTAAATTCAAAGTTTTGCAAAAGTCCAAACATCCAAGATTAATTTATATTTGCAAACATCTGATAGCTAGAAGTCACACTGCAGTACTAAGTCAGGCTCCAGATATTTTTGGACAAATTTCACAGACAAAGTGCTATGAAACTGACCCAAAATAATGCTACTTAATCTAATGCTACAGGAATGTTCGTTTACACCAGTGAAATTGCATTATATTGCCTAAAGTAATTTAATATGTTTTAGAACAGAAGCACACTGCAGTTCAAACCAAGACACGTTTCAGCTTTGAAATAACGTGTGCTAAATCATCTGGGATTTGTAAAATAAATAGTTGTACAATTGCTACCTTTTGCAACAGTGACAAAGGTTAATGTATGAATGGGTTCTCTTCACACACTTCAGAGTTTCTTGCCACTAGTGCCAATAAATATTTAAAAATATATTTAAAGTTTCAAGATGCTAAAATTTTGTTTATCAATTTAATAAAGCACTACCTCCAGTGGGGTGTATTTCAGCACAGCTTTTACCTCTACTGAATAACAAATAAAGGAGGCAAATTCTACTAAACACTTCTCATTGAAGGACAAAAAAAAAAAAACGAATTTTCTTAAAGGCCACACAGACCTACACTACAAAAAGGAGCAAAACTGGAAAAACTACAAGCTGCACAAGTTGCTATCTCTGCAAGTAAAATTAACAGCTTCCAGGTTTAAACCCATCACCTCATAGATACAGGTCAAAGCCTGGACTTATCAAGTTTTAAATGTATGATAGAAACATTTTCTTTTCCACTTTAAAATCCAACCTGCGCCCAGCTGTTAAGATTTTGAACAATTTCAAAATCCATTCTAATCCATTTATTTTCTACAAACTACACTATTAAATGTAATGAACATAGAGGGTGAACTAAAATATGCTGCAGGTTATTTATTAGTAGCAGTAGTTTTGAAGATACAGAAAAGAAAAGAATTTGAGTTGTGATGCATTACTGTACAATTGTATTATTGTTTCCTTCTGGGCCTTTGCTTGGTTTAGGAGATTTTTTGTTTCTGGCAAATGGAAAGACATACGCATTCATTCCTTTTTTTTGTAGACATTAAAATAACAACTGATGTCTCTTTCAAGGCAACACCTAAAGTCTTTTAGAGCCAAAGTCAGATAAACCCCACTGCCTTGCAAATTATGATATTACATAAGCAAATCTGATTGGAAGCAATATTTGTTCACAAGTTTTTCCACAAGAAAAGTTTTAAACTTTCTGTTGACTACGCTGATACTCAACTCACTTGGGATGCCGTATGTCGGGGACAGAGCGATTCAGGGAGATTCTGTCGCTGACGTAGATGTTGAAGCCGTTCTCCCTGTAGGCCTGATCCACCCTGTCAGCATCCGTCAGCGGGAACGGCTTCCCCTGCTCACCGTTTCCTAAAACATGTGCACACACCATCATGTCATGAACAGAATGGCAGTTAAAACCCTCAAACTGAAGTTATTGCTGTTTTCTTTCTTTTAGGCAGAAAATAAATTGAACTTGAAGTAAAAAAAAGGCAGTTTTAATATCCTCAAAAATTATTGTAGCTATTTTTTTGTTCCTCAAAGGGTAAACAAATGTATGTCTTGTGTTACATTGTGTTGATGCAGAATAGCTTCATAAAAGGAAGTCCCCCCAAAGACAAAGACAGGTTCTAATATTTAGGGACTATTTAAAACCTACAGGACAGCAAAGAAATGCAAAAAGAGTAAAATTATTAGATTAAATACTTTCGGAGTCAGGAGTAAAGATCAGCCCATATTTGGAAAACTGATTTTATCTACCACTACAAAGGTCTAAAAATCATTTAGTGTAACATTTTCCCCTGCCATTAGAGAAGCTGACAAATATATCCAAACATATAAAATTTCAGACAAAATCCAATTCTGGATGCCCAGAGACCCTAATCAAGCTAAGTCATCTAGAAGTATGATCTATGAAATAGAAATTACTCTAGTTTCCCTAAACAAATATGAGATAATGTTTAGTCTTTATGGCTCATATAGTATGAAACTATTGTATTTAAGTTCATTCATAAACTGATTTCCCTGGAGTGGTAAATTACGCCCAGTTGGTGATCGTGGTTAATGGTGTAAACTATATTTTGACATTATATTTACATCACAGCAAGAACAGGACATGGTGTGGATAAGAGAAACATGAGGAGGGACCAAGAGATGGTTTGAACCAACCAGATCGAGCAGCATCTCTTCTGATCGTCTCGTAGTCATGCCAGTCTTTCCGTCGTACACCATCGCGTCCCACTCTGGTGTCCTTCCCCACCCTATTCACCCCCTGCAAAGAAAAATACTCTCAAGTAGGGCTGATGGAGCATCAAATAACCAAATAACTTGACCGTAAAATGTCTGGAGGGAATCAATTTGATTCAATACTTTGCTTTAATTCATGTAACTTGTTTACAGTTGTAGCGACAAGTTTCACAGGGAGGGAATTCTACCACGCTGTATGTTACTTGAAAACTAAGTGCAATAAATTATGAAAGAAGGTATTGGAGAAGTTAAACACAGATTTTGAATGTTGGGAGAATGTTTCTACAGCCAAACAACCAAAGCATTTCTGACTGAAACAGAAGTTCTTGTGGACACAACCAGTTTTCAGAACAAGCTGACCCAGCATCTCAATTAATCACTCATGCTTTCGTTATAAGGTTATGGCGATGTCAACAAAACAGAGCAGTGATGCGACTCAGCATGTCTTTACACACTGATTTGCAACATTTTTGCAAGAATACTGAATCTGGCAAAGTAAATCTTGAGCTTTAATTTAACATGACAGGGTAATTAACACACATGGTTTTGAAAAGAAGATTTTTTTTATTATTATTCCCAAAAAAAAGTTCAACAAAAGCAATAGTCAGTTCCAAATTAATCACAAAACAAGAAAAGAAAAAAAAAAAGAAAAAGATAATCAAAATGGAGTTTGAGGGACGTGGTTTTAAAATGAATTAAATGTTCTCTGGTTTTTCAACCATGCCACACATTCAATAAGATTTATCTTCCCTTGATCCTAAGTCACTATCTGTTTCAGCTACATTATTTCTCCAAGGCTTCAGCACTCACTATCTAACAGTGCTCTGCTGAGAGTTCATCCACAGAAAGCACACTCTTCTATTTCATGCTTGACAACCCTGTGAGGGGAATATCAATGCTGCGACAATCAACTCTGTTGAGGCTTCCTATACACAACCACACACATACAGAAATATGTCGCAGCTCGGCATACAAAGACGGAAGCTGTTATTTCTTGCACTCACTCATTCCACACGCAGAGTGCTTTTCAGTGATTTCGTGTCATGATTACTGGATCACAAGACAATGGAGAAATAATTAGCTCAAAAAAGAGGGGGGAAACAATTAGTCAAACACTTTAAGTACATGTGACATCACTGAGTGCATAACATTCAGTGAATTAATAATCCAAATGCAGAATTGGCAGAACAGAAATCTGAATAGCAATGTAATGCATGATGGAGCTGAGAGTTTTTAGATGGAGGTTATGTATGACTGTTGTTTCTTTGTAAAACATTGGGACAAATATATCTAAGTATAAAAAAACACAGTAAATATTAGACAGTCATATTTTGATCTGACTGATTACATTATGCCATTTAGTAAAAAATTATTTTGAAGAACAAAAAAAAAAAAATCACTGTGGGGATTCCTCAAGGGTCCATTCTTGATCTTCTTTCATTTGACAACCTAAACAATTTCCAGGTCACCCCGGTGAAACTTTGTACGTGTTACAGCTCACATTCTTTAAAATGTTCTTTGCTTAGATTTATGTGTGCCTTTTGTGTGTCCTGAGTTATATAAATAAACGTTCTTCACCTTGCTGGACAATCTTTAATTTGAAGTTTGCCAAGAGTTCACTTTAGCAAAAATGTTATTAAAATGTACATTGACAATTTATTTTGTTTTAGAAGTGAGTGAAGTCTGATAAAGAATGGCACTCACCTATGGAAATTTATCCATGTCATTATACATATATATATATATATATATATATAATATATATATATATATATATATATATATATATATATATATAAACGAAAGGAGCCACAGCTAAATACCTCCAACGAATAAGACAAGTCCTGAGAAGCCAGCACAATGGCAAGAACAAAATCCATGCGATAAACAGCTATGCCCTGCCAGTAATCAGATACCCTGCTGGAATAATTAGCTGGCCAAAGGAGGAGATAAAAGCCACAGATATTAAGACTAGAAAGCTACTGACCATGCATGGAGGGTTCCATCCCAAATCCAGCACCCTGTACACGAGCCGCAAGGAAGGAGGCAGAGGACTAGTGAGTGTGAGAATCAGGACGAAACAACTAAGATCCATAAATACATCAGGGACAAAGCCTCAACAGACAATGTGCTCAGTGAATGTCTCAGACAACAGGGAACGGAGGTTGAGGTGCCAGATACCATCATGGGAGGACAAGCCCCTACATGGGATGTACCACCAGCAAATAACCCAAGTGGCTGATAGTAAATCCTACCAATGGCTGGAAAAGCTGTACTCAAGGACAGCACAGAGGCCCATCCTGGCCGCCCAGGAACAGGCCCTAACACCAGAGCAATAGAGGCCCAGATCTACCACACCAACAAGACCCAAGGTGTAGGTTGTGCAAGGAGGCCCGTGAGACAGTCCAGCACATCACAGCAGGGTGCAAGATACTGGCAGGGAAAGCGTACATGGAGCGACATAACCAAGTGGCAGGCATAGTGTACAGAAACATCTGTGCAGAATATGGACTGGAATCCCCGAGATCAAAGTGGGAAACACCCCCAAAGGTGGTAGAGAACACCGAGCTAAGATCCTGTGGGACTTCCAGATCCAGACAGACAAAATGGTAATGGCGAACCAACCAGACATTGTGGTAATGGATAAACAACAGAGGAAAGCCGTTGTGGTAGATGTAGCAATACCAAGTGATTGCAACATCAGGAAAAAGGAGCACGAGAAACTGGAGAAATACCAGGGCCTCAGGGAAGAACTGGAGAGGGCCTGGAAGGTGAAGACCACAGTGGTGCCTGTGGTCATCGGGGCCCTCGGGGCAGTAACCCCCAAACTGGAGCAGTGGCTACAACAGATCCCAGGAACAACATCAGACATCTCAGTCCAGAAATGTGCAGTCCTTGGCACAGCCAAGATACTGCGCAGAACCCTCAAGCTCCCAGGCCTCTGGTAGAGGACCCGAGCTCAGAGGATAAGAACCACCTGCGGTGGGTGAGAAGGGAATTTATATATATATATATATATATATATATATATATATATATATATATAAATTTATTAAACCTGATTAGGCATCCAGTGGATCTCACTGATTGCTGTTGACTGCAAACCAAAACAACTAAAACAAAAAGAAAAAGAAAAAAAAACATTGGCTTGCACAGTAGACATGATGGGTTTTTTCAAGAGCTCTGCCTTCTATCAGTCTTTAAAGGGTTACAGAGCCGGTTTGGGTTACATACATTGTGAATACCTATAATGTATTAATCACTGCAGTTTTCTTCCAAAGCAAAACTCATTCTGTCTGCTTGACAAAATGCAGGTGGCGACTTCTTTCCTCTGGCATTGCGATTTATGCTACTGCTGACATTAAATTAGCTTATTAGCCCACATTATCCTGACTCTTCCAATGAAAGCTTTTACGTGCCCTGCTTTAGCCTCCCTTTATGCAATATCCAACTGTCTAAGTCGAAAGGACATATGAAAAAGCTCCAGGCTGCACAATGAACGAAAGGCTTCCTAATATAGAATGATGGTGTGAAGGAGCTTCATATAGGAACCCAAGCTACTCTACTCCCGATTTCCTTCTTTCTATCCAACCCTCCCTTAATTTGACCTCGCATTTTCTTACTCCATCCCAAACAGACACCCACGGTGTGTCACATCTGGGTCTGACAAGCAGCAGGAGTCCATCTGAGCAAATTTCTACTAAAGAGAAGCAAAAGCGTGCCGCCCCATTTCCTCCTGATTAAAATTTCATCGCACGTCGCCATGATATTCCTCCGGGGCGTTTTGCGCTGCTCGACAAGACCTTGAAAAACAAGACAAGGAGAAGGGGGGGAACTTCTCAGCTAATGCGTGCACATGTTTGGTTTTGTGAAAGTAGAATGTGGGCGGGTACTGAGACCAAAGACAGAAATTGAGACAGACAGTGAAAGGTTGAGCGTGAAAAAGAATCGCATAGAAAAACAGTTGCAAACTCAACAATGCCACCAAAAAACAGTCAGACAAACAGGAAGACTTCTTAAGATCCATTTAAACATTAGAACGCTGGGGTCAGAAAGAGAAACATTGCATGAATCATGGATGAAACACATAATTTGGAACATCACTAGTTTAGATTAGATTCCAATCTTAACCCAACTGTATTTAAAATACTTTGACCATAAACTTCTTTCTTTATCAATAACTGCAAGGTCTCATTTCTGAAAATGTAAAAAATAGTGTCTAATCATATGGTAGTAGGGCTGTTGTAAACTAATATTTTAGTAATCGAGTAATCTATCAATTATTCTTACGATTAATCAGGAATCTGACAAAATAACAAGACAAAATAAAACATTGGTACAGCTAACATAACAGCAGAGTTAATATCAGATATCAAAATCAATCCAATTTTCCACATTTGAGTTTCCCTAACAATAACTTTTCTGTAGTTTAGAAAATCAACCTGTAACAGTAATAGCTCACTTTCTAAGTTAACCTGAAAAAAAGTTATACAAAAATCTTTAATTATATTCAGTTCAATAATAGAGAGGCAGGCCAACAAATACGCTTATAAAAAAATGTCTACACTCCAACTTTTCGTTTATCTATTCATCTCCAGTCAGTTTCATGGATGAACTCTGACCTTGCTCAGCCATTTAGAGCTTTTGTGTTCATGTTAACGATGGTATTTGACTCCTTTGTTCGTCACATACAGAAACTCATGTGCCTTCACAATGCGCTCCACCACCCATTTGTTACGACCTGTTCGTCCGAAAAGCTACACTTGTGTTAATCATCTAATGCACAGCCGCCCACTGTTAATATCCGCTCTCCTGTATAAATACACTTTCAGCGCTCATCCTCGCCGTTTGCTCTGAATCGGCCACCAGGAAGCAGCGCTGGGAGGAGAAAAGCTCTAGGCATTTCGCCAGTCATTTTAAGGATGCTTATTGGTCCCCAAAAAACGACAAAAACCCGGACATTATCATAAATCAATAAAATCCTCCCAGACCGAACTTGAGAACGGAGAGCTCTTGTAACGCAAT